CACCCTCCTCCTTCCCCACAGCTTTTTGTGCTCGACCATACGACATGAAAGAAGAGCTCTCCAGTATAGCAGGTTCCTCAGCTGGGAGTTACACCAGCAGATTTTTTTATTGACAAGTTCAAAACAGATTTGGAACCAATGTGGGATTTTATGTGCATTAATTGCTACTCAAAGTGCATGAATTAGCAGTGACTGGCTAACATGGAGGTCGGCACAGGGAAAACCACAAATGATCGGGTGCGACGGCTCCTTATTCAGCTGTAATCATCTGTTTTCTTTGCTCCCTGCCAGAAAAGCTGTCTACAAAATAACTGTAGTAAGTCGTGTTAGTGGGTCCATCTCCTGCAACTTATAACATAATTTATAAATTTTTTTAATCATTTAATTCATGCTGGCCATAACACTTAGCGTCCCCAAAGCACATCCTACACCTGAACCGGCAGTCGGCCACCCCAACCAGCAGCAACCCTGCCTAGCCTCTGCCTGCCTCTGCATGGCCGGGTACCGCTAAGGGCGTTCAAATCATTGCCTGTCACAACTCCCTACCACATGTGGAGGGTTTAAAAGCAAAGCTTTCCAAGCAGGGACTCTACTCAGAGCAAATACTCTGATAACAGCAAATAGATCATAAATTATTTCAGGTCCATGAAGCACCAAGCATAAAAAATAATGACAGCCCAAGCTGGGTAGTATTCTCCCCCTCTGCCCCTCTTTCCACCCCCCCAAGTCCTGGCCCTTGACTTACAGGCAGGAAAGCACCACATGCCTTTGGAGCAGGCACTCACGTGCGGAGACAGCTGCCGGCACTCAGGCGAGAGGCAGGAGCTTCACCGGGTTTGTGCCGGGTTACCCGACGTCTCGGCACCATGGCACCAGCCCCTGGGCTGCTGGTGCGCTCAGTGCGGCACCATGATCCAGCAGCAAATGCTATTTAAAAATAAATAATACTAATAGTAGTCATGCACCCAACAGCCTTCTTGCTTGAGACGTGAGACACTGAGTCACCAAGGCGGCTGTTTCACAACCAGGCTGCCCAAAAAAGCCCCACTACCCCGCCAGCGCCTGCTCCCCGAGCCGGGCAC